TTGTAATTGTTTTTTTGTAGGTTTTTATTTTTTATTTATTTATTTTTTAGTATTTTGTTTTCTTAATTGTGCATCTCCACATGCAAATTCTCTTTTATTGAAGGTCACAACAAACCACACAAAGTTCTGTTTGCAGAGGACAATCACTCAACCCCCTCCCCAGGTTTTTTTTTATTTCTTTTAGATTTTAATTTAAATTGTCCATTGTTACAGCAGCCAGTTTGCATAGGATGAATACAAAATTTTATAAACTTAGCCAACCATCTTCATCTAAATAAGGACACAACAACACTAAGAATTTTTGCCTGCACTTTCATAAGGCAAGTATTTAGTTTACACAGAATTTGGTTTTATTTGAAGTCTCAGCTACTTTTTAAAATGCTTCACTTTCTCACGGACTRTTTTCAAGTATCGACTTGTTTTTCAACCCAGCATTCACCCCAAGGATTACACTTTTATCTTACTTTCTATCTTTCTAAAGCAGCTTAGTGAAAAATAATTTCTTGTACTTTTGTTTGCAGGAGAAATAGCTCACAGTTTTACTGTTCTGGGAACAGCTCCAGAGCTCAGAGTTGTGATATTTCTTTTTAGTCTCTTAGGTTGGTTAAAATTTTCAGTTTTGTTTTCCCTCATTGTAAGACATACAGTATAATGCTCACATTTAGAATGCATTTATCTGGATACTACCTAAAATTCAAACAGCATTAAAACAACCTTACAAATCTTCTCATGGTATCAATTTAAGAACAGTTTTTTGCTCCTTTGTAATTCTGTCTCGTGATCAGGCAGTTTCACGTTCTAACAGGACTTAATTACATTTTGGGGAGTGAAAGTTCAGTTTTGAACTTTTGAACTGTTGTATGGCAACACCTTCTCTGATCAAAGAGTCTCTAATCAGTCTTAATTGCTGTCAAGAGTTTTTTTTTTTTACAATCAGCTGATGGAAAAAGTAAAAAATAACTTTGAGGTTTTTAAATGTTGTGATGAATTTAGTAAAAGTAGAAACTGGTTAGAGATGACTCATTAACAGAATGAAATGGATGCCAGTGATGATGGTAGTTTTAAATGAATTATTTTGGACTTAGCCACAATGATGGTAAAGTGTGAATAGTTTTACTAGAAAACACAGAATATAGGTAACTGCATGCAGATTGTCTAACTTTAGTTTTTCTACAGCTATAAGCTGACAAGATGTTTTTCACAAGGATATGTCCTTGGACCATATTAATATGTTGCAGCCTGATGCTACAGCAGGGCTATTCAACTAAATTGCTCTGGGGGCCACAGTTACTGCAGGTCAACAGCTGAGGGACTGAACATCCAGCAATTAAAATTATTATGTAAATAAACCAAGTATTACAAAGATCTGTTACCTTTGAATTTGTTTATTTTGCTGCATTTAATCATGAATACAACATACAGAACCCTATAAAAGTAGTGACAATTGCATAATATCAAAAACAAAAAGAACACATTTTGCCTCCTATTTGACACAAATAATATTTTGACATCTCTGACTTGCCAAATTTTTAAACCAATTTTATTTTCCCTTTCATTATTTTATCTTCAACTGCTTGTAGTTTTAATTGTCTTGAGTGTTTATAGAAATGTTTTTACCAGCTTCCAGCCAAGATGCTGATGTTTCTGTAGATACCAAACATGTCTATGTTTAACTAAAAGAACTTAGAGTTATTAAAGTAGAAAACCGGAGGTTTGGGCTTTAGAGATGAATGAACCAATTGGCGGGCCCAACTTTGGCCACTCACGTGSCGGATGTGGCCCGCGGGCCGCCAGTTGAATAGTCCTGTGCTACAGTTTTAAAAAAAAACATTAGTTTACACTCAGTGCCCATACTGATCTAAATGAAAACAAGATTTTATACAATTTTATACATTCATGAAACATGCTTATATAAAACATTTACATATAATATTTATTTTCACTGTTTTTTGTTTGGTTGGTTTTAATTACAATAATGAATTAATGCAGTTTTATTTTTAAAAGTTGTTCAGATTACACTGTAAAAAATTAAATGTTGGATTTACTTAACCATGTTATGTTACCTGGTTCCACTTAACTGAGTTGAGTAAATTCAAAGCAATGTACCAGGTTTTTGGCCAAAGAACATGAGTATGTTGCTTTGAATTTACTCAACTCAGTTAAGTGAAACCAGGTAACATAACATGGTTAAGTAAATCCAACATTTCATTTTTAGAGTGTAGTTTGTTTGTTTTGTTTTGCTTTGTTTTGTTTTTGTTTTGTATTGTATTGTTTTTTGTTTGTTTGTTTGTTTTTTATTTGTTTGTTTTGTTGTAATTTTGATTGAAATAAAGAGATAATACATTTCAAGAGATAAAAACATTTGAACAAAGCCAGGCAAAATAAGATAAATTAGAGGAAAAGTCAGTCCTCTACATTTGGATGGCGGCAGGAAAAAACATGCCGTGGCAAATCGAGTGAATTTTTTTCGAATTCTTCTGAA